AAACAAACAGAATCTAAAATTGAACTCTTGGGGGCTGGAGCAATAGCACAGCGGGTAGGGAGTTTGCCTTGCACGCAGCCGACCTGGGTTCAATTCCCGGCATCCCATAGGGTCCCCTGAGCACCGCCAGGAGTAATTCCTGAGTGCAGAGCCAGGAGGAACCCCTGTGCATCGCCGGGTGTGACCCAAAATGCAAAATAAATAAATAAAGTTTAAAAATGAAAAAAATAAAACCGAACTCTTAAAGAATGGTGGTGTCAGGGTTCGGGGGGTAGCTCCGTGGCGACATTGCTGACAAGCATGAGGCCTCGAGTTTGATTCCGGCCATTGCTCCACATGTACGAAGGACGACCCTGGGACCGCCATTTGCGACGCCCCAGTGTCACCAGTTGTGCAATTTGCCCAGCACACCCCTCCAGCAGCCGGCAATCCGGGTCATTGCAACAAGCAGTACAAACAAAAACAGGAAAGCGAGGGGCTGGAGCAATAGCACGGCGGGTAGGGCGTTCGCCTTGCACGCAGCCAACATGGCCAACACAGGTTCGATTCCCAGCACCCCATATGGTCCCCTGAGCACCGCCAGGAGCAATTCCTGAGGGCATGAGCCAGGAGTAACCCCTGAGCATCGCGGGGTGTGACCCAAAAAGCAAAAAAAAAAAAAAAGGAAAGTGAGTAGAAATAAATTATACTTTAAAATGAGGGAAATCAAAAGGTGAATTTTCTGCAGATGAGTATATGCAGAATATATAATTATGGAATTATTTTAGTTATTTATTTTTGGTTTGAGGGCCACACCCAGTGGTGCTTCAGGGTTATTACTTCTGGCTCTGCACCTCGGGATCTCTCCTGGCAGTGCTGGGGGGCCATATGGGACGCTGGGGATGGAACCCAGATCAGCCACATGCAAGACAACTGCCCTACCTGCTGGACTATCTCTCAGGGCCCTATAAAACTATTATTATTATTTTTGGCTTTTTGGGTCACACCTGGCAATGCACAGGGGTTCCTCCTGGCTCTGCACTCAGGAATTACCCCTGGCGGTGCTCGGGGGACCATATGGGATGCTGGGAATCGAACCTGGGTCGGCCGCATGCAAGGCAAACACTCTACCCGCTGTGCTATTGCTCCAGCCCCTAAAATTATTTTAAACATGGCAACTTGCTTTTGTTTCTGGTGCCAGGGATCCAACCCAGGCCCTCCACATGCAAAGCATACGATCAGCCACTCAGCCATATCCCAGTGCTTTGGGGAAACCGAGGTGCTGGGGATTGAACCTAGGGCTCTGCTTACAAAGTTTGTGCCCCAGTCCTTTGAGCCATCTCCCCAGTCTGCAAATAGTTTTGGGCCACCCCCAACAGTGCCTAGGGGCTACTCCCGCTCAGTATTCAGTGGTCAGTCCTGGCCCCAATGGATTTGATTTTCTTCTTTTTTCTTTGGGGGTGGGGGGAGCATACCTGACTGTGCTTAGGACTTACTCCTGGTTCTGTGCTCAGGGACACTCCTGGCAGTGCTCAGGGGACCATAAGGTGTGCCAGAGATCAAACCCAGTCAAGCATATGGCCGGTAAGCCCCCTGCTCACTACACTGTCTTCTGGCCCCCCAAAAGTGGATTTGTCAAGTAGTAGTTGAAGTTGTTAGTTTGTAGCTTAGGGTAAAGATATGGACTGGAGATACCATTTTTCGTTTGTTTTTGGTCACACTGGGTAGTGCTTCTGGTGTGGCTTTGTGCACAGAGATCATTCCTGGGAGTGAACCCAGGTCGGTCAAGTACAAGGCAAGCACTTTACCTTGCACTATCTTTCTAGTCCCCGTAAATGTACATTTTGAAAAGAAAATGATGAATTGACTGAAAATGGTGCTTGGTAAATCTATTAACAGGTATTGTTATATTTCTTTTTATATTAAAAATATATTATATTCATGTCCCAGAGAAATGCTCAGAAGTCTTTCCTCTGATTTGTAATGTGACCTCTGTAAATAAAAATATCCCATGTACACTGAGGTTTTTGTCTCTATTATTATTATTATTATTATTATTTTTGCTTTTTTAGGTCATACCTGACGATGCTCAGAGGTTACTCCTGGCTCTGCATTCAGGAATTACTTCAGGAGGTGCTTGGGGGACCGTATGGGATGCCAGGGATCAAACCCAGATCAGTCGCATGCAAGGCAAATACCCTACCCACTGTACTATCCTCCGGTCCTATTACTATATTATTTAAGTAGGAATTATTTTAGGGGGAGAGCAGAATGGAAGATTCCTCTCAATCTCTTCACTTCAAAAGAACATTCAGTCATCTGGGGATACGGCTCAGTGGTGAACTGCATGCTTGGCATGCATGAGACCTGAGCTTCATCATCGGCACTAAAAAAATACATATGAAATGATAAAAGGCTGTGGGCCCATCTTTTCGACTTAATGAAAAATCACGTGGATTCTTTGAACTTTTCAGAGAGTGCTCTGAAAATGGATGAGATTGTAGGTAGAAAATTCAGAGGGCTGTTATGTATACCTAAAAACCAAAACGCCTCTACATTTAATATAAGGAGAGGTGACTGCAAATAGTACCGCCAAAGTCTCTATTCTCTCTTCTTTTTTTATTTTTCAAAAGGGTTTAAATTTTATTTATTTAATTCAATCACAGTGAGATATAGTTAACAAGTTGTTCATGATTGGGTTTCGCTCTGATAATGTTCCCAAATCCATCCCTTCACCAATGTACATTTCCTACCACCGATGTGCCCAGTTCCCCTCCCGTTTTTTTCCCCCTTTTTTTTTAGGATTTTGGGTCACACTTGGCAGTGCTCAGGATGTACTCCTGGCTCTGCACTCAGGGGTCACTCCTAGCTGGGCTCGGGGATCATTATTTGGTCCATGGACGGAACTTGGGTCAGCCACATGCAAGGCAAATGCCCTTCCCACTGTACTATCCAGTGCCTGTTTTAGAGTTTTTTATTTTATTTTTTGGGGGAGTAGCAATGGTGTGATAGTACAGCGGTAGGGTGTTTGCCTTGCAAGCTGCCGGCCCAGCTGAGCCGGGTTCGATTCCGCTGTTGCTCTCCGAGAGCCTGGCAAGCTACCAAGAGTATTTCGTCCGCACGGCAGCGCCTGGCAAGCTACCCGTGACGTATTCAATATGCCAAACACAGTCACAACAAGTCTCACAATGGAGACGTTACTGGACCCGCTAGAGCAAATCGATGAACAATGGGAGGACAGTGTTACAGTGCTTTTTGGGGGGGGGGGCATACTCAGCGATGCTTAAGGGTTATTCCCAGCTCTGCACTCGGGATTCACTCCTGGCGGTGCTCGGAGAACCATGCAATGCAGGCAGGCAATCAAGACTGGGCTTCTACAGGGAAAATGTGTGCTCTAAGCCCTTGGAGCTATTACCCCTAGTCATATTTGTGTGTGTGTGTGTGTGTGTGTGTGTGTGTCACAGCGGGGATGCTCAGGTGTTACTCCTGACTCTGCACTCAGGAATTACTCCTGGCGGTGCTCAGGGGACCATAAGGGATTGCTGGGAATCGAACCCGGGTCAAACGCCCTACCGGTTGCACTATCGCTCCAGCCCCCCCCCCCATAGTTTTAAAGTTACTTCTGCCAGGAGTAATTCCTGAGAGCAGAGCTAGGGGTAACCCCTGAGCATCACTGGGTGTGGTCCCAAAACCAACACAACCAAAACACACAAAACCCCCCCAAAACCAGAGGTCTTCTCTCACCAGGGGTAGAGCTTCTCCACTTCTAGTCACTTCGGCTCATTACCCTTAAGTACTCTCCACTAAACTATCTGTTATCATCTTATTAAGCATCTCCTCTTCACCACCGAAGTATAAACTCTACCAGGGTCGGGAACTGGTCTGTCTGCTCTTCTTCCCATGCTAAGGACAGTGCTTTGCACATGAAACTATTCCAATACCTGCTGGGTTATAGAGCGCTTTTTAGTTCTTAAGCAGTATCTATGTGTACATATATTTGTTATTTTTTTTGTGTGTGTACATGTATTTATATATAATCTCATCTGATCATTACATTGCTTGAGTTAGACGGGACAGCCCGCCCCACCGGAGAAACTCAGGAGCGTCTCAGCCCAGGCCACGGGGCTAACAAAACGCAAGTCGGGACGCGCGCTGCTCTGGTTCTAGGGCTAAGCGGGTAAGCGAGAGCGCGAGAACTCGCAACATAGTTTCCAAAAAGTTGCCAATGCCCGAGTCTGAACCGCGGCCCGCTCGCAGCTCGTCCCGGCGGCGCCAGAGCCAACTCCGGTGCTGCACCTGTGTGCCACCCTGGGCCCCACCCCCGTGCACCTTCCTCGGCGCCCCTTCCCACGCCCACGCGAGGGGCAACCTCGAGCCGGCCCCCGGCCACCTCCCGCCCCCCGCCCCTCCTCCTCCTCCTCCTGCGCCCGCCCGCGCCGAGCACGCGTGGCCCGACCGCACGCCCGCCCCCGCCCCCGCCCCGCGCAGCCCCCCGGCGTCCGGCAGCCGGCCGGCCCCGGAGTCCCGCCCCTCGGCCCCGGCCAGCTCGGGCCCGGCGGCTCTCGCCCTCCCCCCGCCCGCCCCCCCGCCCGCCCCCAAGTCTCGCGAGAGGCGCGGCGCCCGGCCGGACGAGAGGAAAGTCTCCGCTCCGCCGCGGGGGGAGAGCAGGCGCCGGAGGCCGGTCGCGGGACGGGCGCGGGCGGGCGGGAGGCGACGCAGCTGCAGCGGGTGAGTCCTGCTCGCGGCCGCTGCCCCGCGGCCCGGCGGGGGCGCCCCACCCGGCGCGGCCGGCCCCGGAGCGCCAGGCCGGGGTCTCCCCTCCCGGGCGGCGCTGGACGGGGGCGCTGAGGCGGTGGCCGGGCCCGGTCTGAGGAAGGGGCGGGGCGGGGCCCGGCGCCGGCCAATGGGGGCGGCGGACGCGGCGATTGGCGGCGCCGAGCGCGAATGGGAGGCCGCCCGGGCCCGCGGCGGCGCGCCGCCCCGCCCCGCGCCCGCCTCCCGCCTCCTTCCTGGGGGGAGGGCGGGGCCAGAGCCCCGGAGTGTGGGGAGAACTTGGGGTAAGTGGCCCCGGGGGGCGGGGGGGCGCAGGGCGTGGCGAGGAGGGCGAGGGGGGCTGAGTCCTGCGGGAATGAGGTCCGGGGAGCCTGCCGGGATGGGAGGACGCGGAGGGGTCCCGGCTGGGGCTTCTCCGGGCGCGGGGTCAGGGACTTTGCATGGGGAGAGGCGGGGGTGCTGGGCGTTGGAAACGCGGCGTTGGGCCGGGCTGGAGAGGGCAGAGGGTGCAGGAGGGTCCTGGCACTTCGACCGACTCGTGGAAAAAGAGAGAAAAAAATCAGGGACAGGATCCGGAGAGAAAGTGCGGGCTTGGAGGAAACTCGGGGACGGAGTTTAGGAAGGTTGCACCGAGCTGGGCCCAGGGACCCGGAGACACCCCTGGGGGGGAGGTGGAGGGGGACGTGGAGAGGGCGGGGAGGCACTTGGCGGGGAGAGGGCCGAGCTGCCCAGGTCCTTAGCCCAAGTCCAGGCGCAGCCTGGAGTCCGGGAGGGCCTGGCACCCCGTCCGGGGAGGGCCAGCCTGCAGGAACGCGGGGTAGGGGTCGACAAGGACAGCACCCCCCCACCCCCACTCTCGTTTCCTTCCTCCCTCTCTTGCTCTTCGCACGCTTGGTCCCTTCCCAAAGTCGGGGACGGGGCCCGGGACCCCGGCGGGCCAAGTGGGAGCCCAGAGGGAGCTGTGCGTTGTTGCTCCGAATCGCTTGTTATGTTCTCGGACTCGGGTGTTTACTCCCCGGGGCTCCTCCTTCCCAGATTCCCGCGTCGCGACTTCCCTAACTTTGAAAGTTTGTTTCCGACCCGGCAGTGGTGGGTGTCCTGGTGTCTCTGAGGGTTGTGTCCTAATTCGTGCCGGGTTGCGGGGTTGTCCGGAGTTTGCTGGTCAAGTTCCCTCGGTTCTGGTGTTTAAAAATCCTTGCTGCAATGTAAGTAGATCCTGCAAGTCACAGTCGTCCTAACAGGCATGCAGGGAGCTGCAGTAGAAGCTGAGCCCAAGTTTCTGTTGAATGTTTTGTCCACTCCTGTGCTTGAAGAGCTGTGAGCTGGGTGGGGGCGGTTCCTTTTAGTTGGTGTATTTTTTTAGGGGTGTCAGTAAAATCGACAGGTATTTCGGAAAAGTGAGAGAAAAAAATTCCTTTGCGTCCAGACTGGGAAACGAAAGATGTGTCATAATGTAGTATTAGAGCAAGGGTTGGGGAAATCAAATACAATTTGTACTTAAACATGGAGGATGTAAGGTAAGTGGAGACTATTGCGAAATGTGACGTGTCTTGTAAGAAAAGACGTTAAAAGAAAAGTTCGGCCGCTAAGCAGTCGTACCAGTTTCTTCTTAATTCCATGCAGAAAAGGAAGAAGCCTTTGCGCTTTGTTTGAGAGCTGTGTGTGGAACCAAAAGCAGCCAGTTGATAGCTTCTTCCCTATGGCATAGATTTGTCTTTCTCTTTTGAGAAGCAAAATGATGGCTGAAAAAACTGTAAAGCTCCAGCAGGCCGAGAAATCAGGGATGTTACTATGTAATAACTTTTGGTTTTCAGCAACGATTTGAAACTGTTTCCTGGCCAGAAAGTTGCACCTATAGCACAGTTAGGACCATTTAATTATTGACCTTTAGCATTAATTACTGAATTGGATTCTGGTTTTTTAAGTGTGAAGCATTTCTGTTGGATCATGAGACATTTTTCACAATTTGGCAGCAGCGCAAGGAATATCTAGTAAGAGAGCAAAGTCCCTTATTATATGTGTGTGTATATATATATATTTACAAGTTGTCATAACTTTGACTTGTATACTATTAAATGCAAGATTTTTTTTTCTTTGTTATGTTAACACCTAGTAGAAAGTTAGGCATCGTTCTGCTCATCTTTAAACTTGTGAATCAGGGGCTAGAGAGACAGTACAATGGGTAGGGTATTTGCCTTGCATGCAACTGACCTGGGTCCAGTCCCCCCAAATGGTCTCCTGAGCACTGCCAGGAGTGATCCCTGAGTGCAGAACCAGGAGTGAGCCTTGCACACCTCTAGGTGTGCCTTCATCCTCCAAAAGAAAGCCTCAAAACAAAACAAACCCTTGCATATCAAAGATTTCATTCTGTGATAGTTTCAGAATTATAATTGGAGGGGCTGTGCTGGGCTGTGCTCAGGGATCACTCCTGGCAGTGCTCAGGGGACTATATGCAGTGCTGGAGATCAGACTCGGGTTGGCTGTGTGCAAGGCACCTTACTCACTGTCCCTCGATACTGTAAGTTTTTTCTTGTGGTTGTTTTTGGACCTTACTCACTGCCCCTCGATACTGTAAGTTTTTTCTTGTGGTTGTTTTTGGACCCTATCCAGCTGTGCTCAGGGCTTGCTCTTGGCTTTATGCACAAAGGGCCTACTTCTGCCAGACTCAGGGGGTCATAGTTAGGTGTGGGGGACTGAACCTGGGTCAGCTGCATGCAAGGCAAGCGCCTTCTTCGTAATGCTATTTCTCCAGCCAGATGTTGTAAGTTTTCGACAATTTTTTTGTCACACCTGATCTGTGCTGAGGGCTTATTTCTGACTGTGTTCCCAAGAATCTCTCCTGGCAGGCTCAGGGAAACTTATGCGGTGCCAGGGATTAAACCCAGGCCAGCATTTTTAAGGCAAGCACCATACCCACTGTGCTATCTCTCCGGACCCAATTTTGAACATTTTTTTATCATGACTTTTTAAGTGCCAGTGACCAGTCCTGTTACCAATGACTATACTGTTAACTGTTAAACGTACCATTACCATATCTGAGTTCTCTTTCCTTCCCTCCCTTCAGTCCAGAGGGAACATTGTTTTTTAACCGACTCTTAAAATACTACTTTGCCTCAAATGAAGTTCCTGGCTCTGCCCGGACACAGCTGTTCTGAAGTTCTGACAAGTTACTGTTTCGTACATGTCAAGACTGAGTTTTTCCTAAGCTGCGGTGGGAGGGGTCAGTGGTGCAGCCGCCTGTGCCCAGCTGAGGAGGAGGAGCCATCCCCTCGCAAGGAAGTTTGAGGTGGAGCATTGCCTTATACACGTCTAATAAAGACGGCTCTTTTCTTGAGCTAGTTGGCATGCTAGTCAGTAATTGCCCCTTAGCCCTTGGTAAAGACACCGAACTTAACATGTCAGTGTTGGTTTTCTGAGAAAAAGGAATGGCTCGCTCATTATAAAAGGAAAATTTATTTTGCTGGGACCAGAGAGAGAGTTCGAGCCTAAGTGTATGCTTTGCACGCAGAAGGCCCAGTTAGGTCCACGAGGTACCACAAGGCCCTCAAAACACTGCCAGTAGCTACCCATCCTCCGAAGAGCTGAGAATAGCCCCAGAGCACCTGTGTGTGACTCCAACTGCCCCCCCATAAAAAGGTTTTAAAAATCTTGTTTCTCTAAAATCGGTTCGGAGTTTCTAAACCGTGATTTTAGAACTCATGAAAAGTCTTCCAGCATTTTAGAAACATGTCAGGGGCTGAAGAGCCAGTGCAGAGGGGAAGGTACTTGCCTTACACACAGCCAAGTTTGGTTCAATTCCCAAGACTGCCTTTGGTCCCCTGAGCACCACCAGGTATATCCCCTGAGCACAGAGCTGGGAGCAAGCCCTGAGTACTACAAGATGTGGCCCCAAAACCAAACCATAAGATAAATAAAACATCTTTTAAAAAATTTAGAAATTAAAAAAGATCAAAGAGGGCAGGAGCAATAGTACAGTGGATAGGGCATTTGCCTTGTACATAGCCTACCTGGGTCTGATCCCCAGCACCCTATATGGTCCTCTGAGCCCATCAGGTCCCTTGAGCACAGAGCCAGGAGTAAGCCCTGAGTACTTCCCAAGCCCCTCTTGCAAAAAAAAAGTAAAGTAAAGTAAAGGCCCTCCCGTTGATCATCGATTTGCTCGAGCGGGCCCAGTAACGTCTCCATTGGAGACTTTGTTGTTACTGTGTTTGGCATATCGAATGCGTCACGGGGAGCTTGCCAGGCTCTGCCGTGCGGGCGAGATACTCTCGGTAGCTTGCCGGGCTCTCCGAGAGGGGCGGAGGAATCGAACTCGGGTCAGCCATGTTGGCTGCGTGCAAGGCAAACGCCCTACCACTGTGCTATTGCTCCAGCCCTTGCAAAAAAAAAAAAAAGTCAAAAAAAGTAAACATCTTAAAGTTTATTTTTATTTTTCTTGAAACCAAATTAGCCAATTGTATGTTTTTCTAATATGCTCATTACTGTTTTATAGAAAATAAAATTTAAGCATTATTGGGGGAGGGAGATCATGTGGTATCAGGGATTGAACTCAGAACCCTGTATGTGCCAGCCATATATTCGCACACCTGGAGGGAGCTTCCCAGCTCCAGGGTAGTACTCAGGAGGCCCAGGGCCCTCCTCGCAATTCTTGGCCAACTGGTGTCAGTTCGGTGCCTGGACTGGAGAATGTGATGTTTCCCGGTCCCTGCAGTGCTGGGGAATGCGTGGACCACACTGACGGTGTTTCCAGGTTTCCAGGGCTACGGCTGGCGGTTCTGGGGGCCTCCAGAACGACACCTAATGGTGCTCAGGGGGCTTTGTAGCGCTAGGAATTAAACCCAGGTCTGGCACATGCTAGGCATGTGCCCTAACTGCTGTACTATCTCCAGGCCCCAGCAGCTCATCTTTCTTTTGGGCTGGGGGTGGAGGGTTGGAGGGGAGTACTCTGGTGGTACTCGTAGAAACTTGCACATGGGGTGCAGGGACTGAATCAGGGTCAGTTGCACGCAGTGCAGGTAGTTTATCCCCTGTACTCTTTCTTTTTTCTTTCTTTTTGCTTTTTTAGGGTCACATCTGGCGATGCACAGGGGTTCCTCCTGGCTCTACACTCGGGAATTACCCCTGGCGGTGCTCGGGGGACCATATGGGATGCTGGGAATCGAACCCGGGTCAGCCACTACCCGCTGTGCTATTGTTCCAGCCCCTGCTGTACTCTCTCTGGCTCAGCATCTCACTTTGAAATGCTGCTTTCCTCTAGAAAGCCCCCGTTAGGAATAAGGTATAT